ACACTAGGACCCTGTATGAGTGTTTCGGAGACACAGCATACATCAATGGTACGAGATTCTAGCGTTTTAGCCAAGGAAGCCTGCTGGCCGATTTGACATAGGGTGCGCACATTGAAGGCTCTAATGTATTGTTTGAGGCGAGGTTTCAGTAGACCTGGGACAGTATTTTGCGCACTAGAATCGTTGGCCATGGTGACACTTGAGGAGGAAGTCAAAAGAGGAAGTTTAGTGTTGAAAGTCGAGGTAGAAGGAATAGTAGGAATTGAAGAGGGAGATTGATTATGAATACAGTGATCTTGAGTACTGTTAGAGGTGTGAGGGCGGTTATCATTTCCCGGTCGCCCACACCGTGGAAGGGTTCTTCTAGAAGTACCTGAAAAGGAAATTGTGTTAAAGGTATTCTTAGTGATCTGAGAGCGCAACCGAAGTGCCAAAGGGAAAACTGCTTGAGGTCGGTCACACACAACCTTTTGTGAGCAGTTTTCGTGTTATCTCCATACTTGTTGAGACCTTATCGCCGGAGACGGGAATCCGTGGGATAAGGCGAGATGTGCATTTTAAGGTCGACCTTTTCTAATCCCATCCCTCTTTGTGGGAAGGCGACATCACTTTTGTGCTGGCTGTTTGGAGGAAACACCTTACTGCCGTCATACCTCTGTAAAGTCAGCAGTACAACTTCGCCCTCAGACCTTGGGTTTGCTGCTTTTAGTCTTACCGCTCTTCAACCGACCTGTCTGCCATGGTAGGACCTTGAGGAACGATTGTTCCAGCCAGTATAGCTCGATTGGGTCATCACGATAGGCAAGCCCGACCACCACGTCAAGGTATCAGCAACGGTCAGGGCTTAACGACTAGTGTGAACTTGCTATCTGACAAATCCGACAAACCATACTACTACGAAATTTTCATTGCCAAATATTTTTTGCCATTGTTGATATTATTATTTTAAATCCTTTGCTATTTATCCGGTTAATTTTATCTTGTGCTGGTTTAACATGGCAACATAAACTAACCCATACTCGCGTTGAGCTCTACGTTGATTATTAATGACGGACTTCTATATAATAAAAGATATTGCTGGATACTGCTATGCTGACAGGCTGCAGCAGTTTAAATAACGCAATTCCTCAATACTCTGGAACTCACAGGTAAAAATAGTGATCTAAAGAAAACGTTTTGCAACTTAAATTAAATAGCAGTGACTTAATTAACCTATTAACTTGGTTCAACGACCGGCAGAAATAGGTGATATGGTCACTAAAAACATCTGAAAAACATTTACGGTTGACAAATAGTAATAACAGATAGCCCCGTCAAATCATAGACTATTACAATCTTGAAATATCTATGATCGCCGCAGACTTCTAAGCAGTTGTTTAATGGTCAATAAGATCAATTTACAACCATAAGGTTCTAGGTTCCAGTCCAAGACGTCCTCTGGTCCAGGGAGCCTCCAAATGTCCTGGTACTGTCAAAAGTGCGGAGAGTCCACTCTCCCTCTCGAAATGCTCTCACATGGTCGGGAAAGTTCTACTCACTGCCTTCTCGTAGCGGGCATGTTGTTTACAAAATTGAGAGGACGAAAAGCGAATGTCCGGCGCTTTAATCGGGTTGGTGGACACGGAAAGTCCACCTAGAGGAGTTGGGAAACCCTGATTCCAAACCAATGGTGCACACCTAATAATCTAATCCGGTTATTTATTTATGCTTAAGAAGTGGTTTATATTAGGTCGCGAAACGTCACAAATACAATTTTCAACTCACTGATATGTAACAAAATACATATCTGTTATCAACTTTCTACCCAATGCTTAATTTACTTTAAACTGTCAAATCCAACTTTGTCATTGATAATCTACAAAAGGGTTTTCAGTCTTCGTATAGCCAATACCTCAATAAAACTTAGTATACGTCATAGTTTGCACCACGACTCATCTGACATGACCAAGATATCGAAGCACGCAGTGATAGACCACGCACCCCGAGATGTGCTTTGAACCAAAATACAATTTCGTTCCCGTTTCACTGAATAAGTAAAGAAACAATGATAGCCTCTGCCAGGGAAGTCCTACTCACTGCCTTCTCGTGGCGAGGGTGTTGTTTACGAAAGTGAGAGGACGAAAAGCGAATATCTGGAGCTTTAACCGGGTTGGTGGACAAGGCGAGTCCACCTAGGGGAGTTGGGAAACCCTGATTCCAAACCAATGGTGCACATGGGCTCCAGGATCATGAGGGAACAAATGGTGTATGAACCTATTGTTGGTCAACGGATACGATGGGACTGCACCTCCTGACGTTGCTCCACTGCCTTGTGGATTAGACCTTAAGGTCGGAGGCTCCGAGTGTGGCCTCCTAAGAAAACCACCTGCTTCAGTTTGGGCACCCAAGCAGTATTACAGCTCACACACAGATTAAGTGACTTGTGTGGCGCATATGTATCCGATGCTCATTGGTACCAATATCTCAGTGTTCAAATAAAACAAAATAAATAACTGGTCTAGGGAAACTAACAAAATCACTAGCTTTCACTCCTAAAATGTGACTCATAACCATAAATCTAGTGAATTGGTTAATTCACTTTCATTCATTTTATTATTGCAATTGTAGTCAATGTATATCTAGGCTATTATGTTAAAGTTCGTCAGTTTTTAATATAAAATACAATTGGACTGATATCTCTCTTACTGTTTTCGTATAAATTACTTTTATTTATGAATCTTGAAGTCATGATTAATAACGCAAACTGTTTTAACTCGATCAAAACAAAAGAGATGCGGAGATTGCCAAGATGACAATCTTTATACATCTGTTAAGAGTAATACAATGTAACACAATCGCTTACAGACTGTTTGGGTGAAACATAGACCTTGACTTTTCGAACATAATGTCTGGCTACGTAAAATGTAATGTTCCACTTATAAGCCAATTTAAGTCTACGTTTCAATATAAGATCATTTGAATCATCTCTGAATAATAATTTAATATAGACTCGGTGTTTAGGTGCCGTAAACATTGTAGGTCTTGTCATATTGCTACCTATCCAACAGTTTGTAAAAGTCAATGAGTAACGACAGTTCATCAGTATTTGAGTTAAAAGCTTTGCATATTCATCAATAATATAGACAGTGAAAATACGATTGGTTCTTTATTAATCTGTTTGTACTGGATTAGTTAGTGAATATGGAAACTAATATATTGCAGTTACGACAAGATTTCTGTCCTTATAATCTGGGACCACTCATTCAACCAGTACCCAAACAAGCGTCCCCAAAATGTCTATAATCAACCCATCAAAACCTAGTGCTCTATCTCGTGCTTCAAGCTAATTACAGTCTTTTCAACGAGCGTCACCCGTTATTGTCTTCCTTGGTTCTTGTTCAAGCTAACGCAAAAGTTCAGAAAAAAAGTGCAAGAGAGACCACTCCATATGGTCTCCAATCTTTGATCGAGTTGTGACTTAAACGTGAACCTCCCTCCAATGCTTAAACATAATAAAATGCTGTATCTTCCATTCTCACTTCAGTCGTAATTGTCGGTTTTTCCACTTTGTTTTTCCTTCGTTAGCATCATTTTTTTCAGTGACCGCAACATCTAATTTGATCTTACCGTGACATTGTGATGTGTAATGACATAAATCAGAATTTTACTGTTTTTTCTGTCTGTCAAACTCCTTTAATGTTTTGAAGGTGCACGGCGCCATCATGGTTTTGTTCATGTACTACTGTGCTGTTTTGTGACTTTAAATGAGATATTATATCAAATCAAACGTTGTCTTGAGAGCCATATGATGAAATTATAATAAGATTGATATGACGGATGAATTAGAATATTTCTCTTTCTAAGGTATACTACTCTAGTACGATGATAAGACTAGACTGGGTGGTTGAATTTACACTACCGCTACATTGGATACTCGGACAATCCGCTTTACATAAATCAGATCACGTTATATCAGACACTTGATTCAAAAACAAAAGTAGAAAACCAGAGTAATGCCAGACGAAACTTTATCCCGCACAATTACAAGCAGTCACTCGTAGCAAGTGAAGGAAATCATATACTTAATAGTTAGTAAGTTGCGTGCCTGTTTGTCTACACTTAATGATTAGTCACATTTACTGTCAATACCACATACCACAAGTTAACCTAGGTTAATCATGAAGCATGTTTTACGCATCCCCACTTAAATCTTTTTTCAATTGGTACAGGATTAAATGGGAAACTTCGCGTATCTGTTTATCAGCACCCAAGGAGTAAGGTCCAGTTTGAGATATATTTTTTATACTCCAAGATGACAAATATTACTAGTTTTTAGGTTGATATACTTTTGGTAATGGCTACTGCACTAACTATTGGATACATATTCTCGTTTGTCGTGAACTATTGGAGTTTTCAAACCCAATCAAGGTTTGCTATAGTTCATTTCAGCTAGTGACCACTGTTAATGTAATTTATTATCATAAATAGGAAAAAATGTCACACAGGTTACAGTATGACACAGTCGTAACCAAAATATGACGGGCATCTGGATCTATAACAAATAAATTTGTCGTATTTGACTGGGTTGTGTGCATACGACGAATAAGTAATGAATTTGTATTGTGTTTTCAGCTATTCTAGTTAAAGTTAGATTCTAAAATGTCACCAATATTCCAGATTATCATACCTTTCGAGGTCTATATCTTGTTTAATCATGCAGCCTTATTATCATAAATAGGTTACACACTGAATGTTCATATCGTACCCGACTTTTCTGTATTGGGAAATAAATTCCCAGCTCTCTTGGGAAAGCGTATAAACAATCCCTTAATACAAATAGGTATGTATTCATCAAAATCACCGTATATTATATATGAAATCTAACTCCCATTATGTTTTTAATCGTACATTATATTTCGACTTTTCACCGCTATTTATACACCATGGCAACATAAATTACAATCTAATATTTTCTTATTTCTTCTGATCATATACCGACTTTTATTGATTACTCGTTGCAGGACAAATGGAAACGAGCTCACCGTGTACCCCCTGAAGTTATGAAAGGTGACAAAACGCCTAAAAATAAATCTGTCGATGTTTTCGGTAGCCGAATAGGACGAGTTCATGTTGGCAAGTCTTCTGAATTGGAGAATTTACGACCTGGATCTACCATACGAACTGCTCTGACCGGGCATCGAAAACGTGGTTTTGAACGAATAAAATCTGGTGTTAGCAAATCTAAAAAAACTTCAGTTCCTGTTGACCTTAGTGCTAGCAAACGGCGTAAATTGTTTACTGATGCTTAACCAAATATACTCTTTTACTCTCAAAAGAACAGTGTTTCTTTTGATAATACTGTATGTGACGTAGTCATCAAAACACTTTTTTTAAGGTGGCAAAACTTGAAGATGATAAGGGAGTAAAAAGGACTGGAGGCTAAAAGCAGTGGCGATTAAAAGATGAGAGATTCCACTGATTACCGTTCGAAATGATGGAGAGAGCGCTTGTAATTTACATTCCTCTTTATTTCACATAGAAACAGCTGTTAAATGAATTTCGATAGGCAAACCAGAAGAAATTTAAAAACAGCTAAACTTTGGTAGTACTGAGAATACTTCTCAAGTTTTAGAATAATGACTTATGGCGAAGGTTGGGAATCAATTTCTTAATTCATTGAACCAATACATTAATGTCAAACACACCTTTTACATTAGAGATGAGTGGTCTTCAGAAAATATATTCGAATCAGAATTACCTATTGGTTTAGTTGTCAGAAATAATGCCTCTCAAAATATTTAGCAAAGTTTCTCTTGTAAGGACTAAAATATAAAAATTAAAGATTGCGAGGTATAGGCAACATTCCTTTGGTACGCTAGCCACCTGAATTCGTCTTAGACGCATTTCTGACATTGAATAACGAACGTGCAACAACCTGTAGTTCTTACTGCTAACCAGAAACACTTCAATATTGGTATAACTACTAGGGCTAACTTTTCCAACTTCACCAGTCGCAATACAGTCTTCTTAACTCTTTCCTAAGTTTCAATTTGATGGGGCATATATATATATATATATCGAACAACCGATTTATCCCCGTACATTGCTGGTCATTTGGTTTAGAGTGAAACGTAAGGTAACAAAAGACGCCGGAATCGATTCATATGTTGTGGTTCAACAGTAAACAAGAGTTGGATTCAGAATATTGACAGTAGCGTAAGACTTTAAATCAAATACCTAGTAGGAAAAGGATAAAGACGAAAGGACTCTTAAATCCAAGATATGAAAACAAAAATTGAACGAATCCGCCTCACTGCGTCTAGTTTTGACCCATATTACTAAAGGTCTTCAATCACCAGTTACCGCTTTGCCAGACTCCAATCAGGAAGTTGGCACTTGATACAACTTAACCACAGTCAACGACTTCATGGATTTATGTTGTCATGATCTGATTCCCTTCATATATCTTCCATGCCAACTAAATGTCTGGGAATAAGCAGTAGCTTGTTACATACGACACATCCCAACCACCCAAGTCGATCAACACCATCGTTAACTGATGCACCATTTTCATATGCCCTAAGCGCTACTCACTTAGTGATCCCACCATAGGCAGGCGTATTTTTCGATAAAAAGGAACTTAGGTATGACTGATACCTTTGTAGGTCATGTTGCGCATCCGTGAAGCAATACAAAACAGATTATTTATTTATTTAAACACATATATATTGGTACAAAAGGGCACCAGATACATATGCGCCACACAAAATAATGAAAGTAGGAAGAGAAGGGATGAAAGGATAAGGCGGACTGAAATGTACAACCAGAAGACTCTTTCAGTTAGAGCTTCCAGGAGTTTAGGGGTAACAAGCTTGGTGGTAGATGTTATCCAATAATCTAAGTATTTATTAAAAATTACCTATTCTGTAATATTATACATTTGTGAAACATGGTTTTAATGTTAGACTTCAAAGTCTACATTTATTTGGCATAGGCTCTACGTAGCACGGTGTATGTGATATAACGCAAGTGAATGCAAAGCATTATCAGAAACTTTCATTACTCATACAGTCGAATTTTTATAATCTAAGATAAAAGGACATTAAAGTACCCACTGTGCGAAATCCTATCATTTTTCCTACAAAATGTAGTGCTTTAAAGAGTCTACGGTCAAGGGTCATGAGGATTCAAAGTGCAAAACTAAGCTATCGGAATTCCAAGTGGTATGATTCATTTACAGGGTTATAAAGATTAAGCATTTATGTTGTCCAACCAAGCTTACTTTCACAGGTACGTCGGAGATCTACTTGCATCACACCCGATTAGGGCTCGTCCTGCTGACAGACAAATGCGAAACTGTACAACCTAGTTGCATAAAAAAGAGTATTTGTAAGTTTTTATTCACTTGGAAATATAAATACTGGTACAAAGGAGCATCGGATACATATGCGCCACACAAGTCACTTAATCTGTGTGTGAGCTGTAATACTGCTTGGGTGCCCAAACTGAAGCAGGTGGTTTCCTTAGGAGGCCACACTCGGAGCCTCCGACCTTAAGGTCTAATCCACAAGGCAGTGGAGCAACGTCAGGAGGTGCAGTCCCATCGTATCCGTTGACCAACAATAGGTTCATACACCATTTGTTCCCTCATGATCCTGGAGCCCATGTGCACCATTGGTTTGGAATCAGGGTTTCCCAACTCCCCTAGGTGGACTCGCCTTGTCCACCAACCCGGTTAAAGTGCCAGACATTCGCTGTTCGTCTTCTCAATTTTGTAAACAACATGCCCGCTACGAGAAGGCAGTGAGTAGAACTTTCCCGACCATGTGAGGGCACTTCGAGAGGGAGAGTGGACTCTCCGCACTTTCGACAGTACCAGGGCATTTGGGGGCAATATTTTTAAGGCGTAGTGTAGTCCCAAGTTAAAGAAGGGCAGTGGAGTATGTTTTTAAGCAAGCCAAAACTATTAACTGTTATCACAATTATTCCATTGGCATCATTTTGAGATTACATTCAAACTTATCTACAGCTGTCAACAAGCACATGAACTGCAGTTCCCCTATTTATAAGGTAAAGCTGAGTCTTTTTATTGCTTTTAAATTAGAGTCCAATGTATGTTTGTTAATACTGACCATTCCACATTTATAAATAGAGGAAGCACAAAAGCTTCTAATATGAAACTGAGCATGTCATTAATCAGACTTGTACGCATTTTTGCTAGGTTTTATATTGTCTATGACTGACCCAAAATTGCCCTCTGTGAAATGCTATTTTAAGTACGAAAGCAAAATATTTCATACTTCAAATCAACCGTTTAAAAAATAGTGCGCGGATGTTCAGACCATTAAATTATATTGTTCATTAGAATAGGGTTGTGGAGATGGTTGAGTTTCAATTGAGATCATGAACCGATCAATGTTAGACCGTCAATAAAAACGTGGAAGCACTGGACGACCGTTTTATCCTAGTTAAAGACTCCTCAGAAATGCTTTCAGGTTTTCGATCGTGATCTAACACTGATTGGTCCATAATCTCAATTATATCGTCTACGTATGGAAAGTTAGCATCCGGAACAATCTTATCAAACATAGAATCGCAAAGAAAATTCACATTATAATATATACAAGTAAACCAAAATGGTTTTTATTACAGATGAAACGATCGACAATTCAGAAAAAGTAACCGATAAGTAGGATATAAAGTTAAGAGATGAGACACCTTTAGATGTAGGGAGGTATTCATATTTCTTTTTTACATAAAGTCATCCGAATCATAGCCATCTTCATTTGTTCTCATTTTACTCTCAACAAACAAACGATCGTAGGATCTTTTTTCTGCTTCCGCTGCACGGACTTTCTGTGCCTCAAGTTCTGACTTTTTCTTAGCAGCCAGAGCAGCTTTTTCTTTGTTTTTAATGCGAGTATCTCGCTTCTCTCTCTCACCTCTTAAATCAGGATGTTCGCATTGCTCTTTTGTTTTATTGAGTCGTTTTATTACATCTCCATTGCGTTTTTCAACTACGATCTTTTGAACTGCTTTATTATTGTGAAAAGAGACTTGACCAACATCCATATCATTGGTTTTTTTCAGGTTCTCCCATTTGGTATATACAACAGTGACATCGTTAAGTTTGCAACCCTATAAAAGTACAAGTTAAAAAATTGTTATATAGGCAGAAAATAGTCAACAGAAAGAACAGCTACGCTTCTAATACTTTTAAATGACGATATATCCGTCTTAATGAAAAATTAATACTCAGGACATTTCTTGACAGTATACACACTAAGCCTAGGAGAAATAAACAGTTGAGTCAGTATCACATTTAAGTTGAGTATTTAAAATGGTTTATCTTTAATATGGTAGAACTACATTTTTTCAAACCATGCTCATCCACTTTGTAGAATCGCATTGTAACAGTAAATGATCTGAGGAAGGATAGTTCGAAGAGAACCACAGAAAAAAATCATTCCTAGCCTTCTTCTAGGAAGTTAAATAAACCTAGTAAGCCGTAGATGACTTTCTGAAATAATTCGTTTGCAACTGATCTAAACTTATTGCAAATACAAGAGCGTCCGTTTATTTATTTAAACACATATATATTGGTACAAAACGGCACCAGATACATATGCGCCACACAAAATAATGAAAGTAGGAAGAGAAGGGATGAAAAGATAAGGCGGACTGAAATGTACAACCAGAAGACTCTTTCAGTTAAGAAAGTTAGAACCATTCTTTATGTAGAAAGTAAAAGAAGGTTGCAGCAGGATCGCCACTGGCTTCTATTCTGAGCCATATCCGATAACGTCTCTAGCCACTGTGTTGCACCATCTCTCGGACCCCAGCCAGGGAGTCGTGAAGGACTAACAGAAGCTAGCCCTTTGCAGCTTTCTTTCATGCCACGACACCATGTCATACACTGACCTCCCCTCCGCTTTTTCCAACCAGTCCCAGGGTCGGCAAATAATGCACGACGTGGAAGTCTCTGGGACGACATTCGTAAAACATGTCCAAGCCACCGAAGTCGGTGATTCAAGATGGTGACACCAATTGAATTATCGTCTCTGCACCCGAACACACGATGCCGAACCACTGCATTACTAACATGGTGTTGCCACTGGATGTCAGCAATCCTTCCCAGACAACGATGATCGAACACAGAGAGTCGTCTAACATCCTCAACTCGAAGAGACCAGGTTTCACAAGCATATAGCAAAACTGCTCTCACCGACACGTTGTAGATCCGACCTTTTACAGCCAGACTAACATTACGAAGGCGCCAAAGATGGCCCAGATTGGCAAAGAGCGTCCGTAATGTACACTGATATATTATGATTTAATCTTCAAATATGGGTTGTAATAAATTGGAAAATTAAAGATCGGCAGAATAAGGCATGGAGTTAATTCAGTAATCCACCATCTGTCTAAGCCATATAAGACAGTTTCCTGGGTAAAATGGCGAAGTAACAACAACAACTGGTCATAGATTTTAAACGATACTTTTTAAAATCAGTCGTGCATCCTTTACTTCTTTCTGAAGGTTTAATATAGTATACTTTTGTTCTGCAGTCTCACTAGACTCTTAGTTTTTCAATTTTTCCATGTCGTCTGCATTATTTTTCTTTATTTTCGGTTGTTCACTTACTGTCCTGATATTGAACGTAGCAACTTCTGATTAATACATTAGATTTAGGTCGTAAACTGTTTCTTGGAGACAAGGTAGTCATAAAATTAAGGACGATATATAGCATACACTCAATATATTTTAACAAACTACAACCTTACAATTTACAGCTTCAGTTGGTGTCTTCCATTGTCCAAAACCCAACGTCCAAAGTAAACGTTTATTGCGTAGTCGCATCAGGTGTACATAAAACCTTGGAAGCATGTGATGAAATATATATGAACGTTTGTTGTCCTTTATCGTCAATCTTATCTCAGACACACTAGTACAATCATAATTTTGATGATATTCTTAATCTTCAACGATAGGCGTACTGACACCACTGTTATAGGCCTAAGTATAGACATCTTATTTCATCTCTTAATGTATAATGTGAGACTTAGTAACAAGAATAGACTATGCTAAGTTGTATTTCTTAATGAAATGACTAAATTAAGAATTTTCGAAATTAAAACTTGAGTGGGAGAGCGCCAAACAAGCGCAGCAATAAGCTAATAACGGTTAACAACAGCTGTCTTGCTTTAATGGTCCGCATATTTTTGATTAGACGGCTGTCATTGCCTTACTTTTTTACGTAAGGGCTCATCTTTAGCGGGATATTTGTGCTACATCTTGACTACCACTATAAGCAAAAGGGGGTACGCAATAATCGGACATGCCAGGTCATAGAAATAAATACCATACACTTGGTGGTGGACAAAAGTATGAGCAGTGACAAACTATGCGTTTGTTATTCTTTTAGTATTACGAAAAAGAGAATTCAGCGAAGAAAATTTTCTTTTCGACGAAATCATTTAATTAAGCTGTACATTCGTATATATTTAGTTATATGGAAAACATATGTCTACAGGAGGCTAGGAAAGATTGCATTATAAATTGATTCGACAATAAATAACAAATGAGATTACGTACTAATCAAGGGGTAAGGAAGAAATTAATTTGTGGGTCAGATAGTCCAATTGACAGATATGAAAAAAAGCGACAAACACAAAGGTCATAATAAAAGATTGAATAATAGTCAAGAAAACTTGTATAAGGTAATAATAATAACTGATTAGAGTTTGAAATCGATAACAGTAATTTAAAAAACAAATCGATAATAATCAAATAAAAGTGCAGAAAAAAAAACGACAACCAGAAACATACCCATCAAGGGAATTAGGGCCATATAACTATATATACGAATGTACAGCTTGAGTAAATGATTTCGTCGAAAAATTTTCTTCGCTGAATTCTCTTCTTCTTATTCAATGACACTGAGTTATTTTAATTATCTTTCAGTATTTGAAAATAAGAACAGAGTCTTTGCTCTGAAATCTGAGGAGCATTAGGACTGACTAGACGAAGATGCTTTAAATATTTGACATAATTCGATATACCTGTTTATAATACACGACCTCACGAAGATATACTTGTTACGTAAAACATCAGATTATCGTCATAAAAGGTAACTAGGCCAGAAACCTGAGTAAAAAATGAGCAAAAACCGAAATCCGCAATGATTTCACTTCACTAGGCTGAACTATGGAAATGAAGTAAGGACTAAGGAAGGGTATTGGAATGAAATCTAGTAGTCCGATCAAATGAGGTATTAAAGAATTAGTACACAGTGCCGAATTTTTTGAGGTGAGATATGAAACAACCTTGTTTTTGAAGGCAAATCAGTTCCAGAAACGATTTGAAAACTATGATGACCGTTAAAAAATTTCATGTTTCACGATATAAAATGCGAAATCATCCTCTGTGCACCGAGAAGAAATCTGAACTAACTTGGATGCTGTTTTCCTTGACTAATTGTGCACAGTCCTGTATAACGGCAGCAGGGACATCATCTAAAGTTTCCCCTTCCTTCAGTCGTAGGTAAACATGAGCAGATGATAGAGCATCTACATGAAACCAAACGTCTTCTGGCCATCCCCAACGAATAAGTTCATCATTTTCATGTTTATCTTCTCCCATGTAAATAAAATAAGGAGGCTGAACAAGTTCACACTTAAAGTGCAGGACCATAATTACTGGTTACCTAACCAGAATGTGTGAGGTGGACGAAATGGACTTCCAAACAGGACCGCGCTTCTGTCCAACGACCTTGAACGGCCTAAATGACAACAGGTATTCCATATTTTAAGTGCTTAAGTCTTCAGTCTTCAGTAATAAGGATAGAAGGTCTAGTGACCTATTTTAATCCTTGCAGTTTGTTACACTGTGGAGGTCCAATATCGTCTTGAATATATCAACAGAAGGTGCTGATATTACGTGTTCTGGTAGAGAATTCCAGTAATTCACTACTCCGTGCGAGAAACGAAACTCCAGACGTAGACGATTTGATCTCGGTTTTTGGACTTTCTTTGAATGTCCTCTCAAATGCTCAGCCCTAGACGGGAGGAAAAGATAGGACATGTTAGTACCAAGGTCATCGTTCAGGATACGATATGCCAATATTAGATCATCCCGTATTCGCCGGTAAGATAACGGAAATAAGTTGAGGTGTCTCAGTCTGTCTTCATAAGATAGGCTAGATAAGCCTTTTACCATTTTTGTCCCGCGGCGTTGGACTCGTTCCAACATATCCGCCTCATATTTGAAACAAGGACTCGCTGCTTGAATCCCATATTCCAAATGTGGCCGTACGAAAGTTGGGTATAATAATCTAAACATTTCCCCATCCAGATACCGGAAAGATCTACGAATAGACCATAATGCCCTATAGCCTTTTGCAGCAGCAGCCTTACAGTGACTGGTTGCTTTGAGATCATTACTTAGTATGACTCCTAAATCTTTATAGTTTCTTACTTTGGGCAACACTAGTCCACATAATGTGTAGTGATACGAATCATCGTAGTTATTTAATTGCATCACAACACTTTTATTAGGGTTTACTTCTAGTGACCACCCATTCATCCACGCAACTAGTGAGTTAAGATCTTCCTGTAAAACTATTCTGTCTGACATACTATATATGGGTCTGCAAATCTTAATGTCATCGGCGAATAGTAGGACGGATGACTTAGCTATAGCTGGTAATTCATTTCTATAAAGTAAAAAGAGAAGAGGACCTAAAATCGTGCCTTGGGGGACGCCACTTTTTACTGGTTCCCACGATGAGAGAGCCCCATTTACTCTTACCCGTTGTCTCCTTTCATGAAGAAAGTCACTTAGCCAGTCTATGACTGAATAATGAATTCCAAAACTTTCTAGTTTCAATTTAAGACCAGAATGGGAAACCTTATCAAAGGCTTTACTTAGATCTATGAAAATGACATCTACAGGAATATTGCGATCTTTTGCCTCAGCCCAATCTTCTCTTGCAATGAGAAGATTTGTCAAACATGATAGACCTTTTCGAAAACCATGTTGTTCCCTTGACAAAAGATCATGTCTTTCCACGTAGTTTATAACAGCCATCCTAATAATTTTTTCCATTAGTTTTACAACTGCACCAGTTAAGCTGACGGGTCGATAGTTACTAACTAAATCCCTACCCCCAGTCTTATACACCGGACTGATTATTGCGTCCTTCCAGTCTCTGGGCAATCTGGACTGCCGTAGGGACATATCGAACAGCATCGCTAAGGGTTCAGCAATAACATCTGAGAGGGCTTTCATAATCCGAGGATGAATATCATCAGGACCACTAGACTTATCAGGTTTAAGATACTGGAGTAGGCTTAAAACAGTTTCTTTCTTAATAACTACAGGGTCCATCAACAGGTCGCCACAATCACAATGAATAGGTGATCGTTCCTCATTATTGGTAGAAAAAACTTTACTGAAATATTCCGAAAAATCTTCCGCTTTTTCGGTATCATTTCTTGCCAAACTTAACGGATTTTCTTGTATCAAAAGTGATGGTATTCAATCACTTCTCTGAGTTCGCCTCTTTATATACGAGAATAACCGTTTTGGACTATGTTTGCAATCCCTAACCAATTGTTTTTCGTATGACCGTCTAGTTCTACTAATTAACGCTTTACAATTATTTCTAATCTTACGATAACTAGATCTGTACTGTTCTAAGCCAGTAGAGATGAACATGTTCCAGTGTTTTTTTCTACGCCTAAGGAGTTTCTTAACTTCTTTATTTATCCACGGTGGACTATTGTTCGGTCTACGTGGCACCAAGTATGGTATAAACGGGGACGTGACTGCACTAAACTTGCCTTTAAATACAGACCACGCCTCATCAACTGATGAGCTAGTATCTACTGACCAATCTATCTTAGTAGCACAATCCTGAATTTCTGGTATGTTAGCTCTCCATATGTTTGGGCGAGGCTTAATCTGATCGTATATCATATCGCTAGCTCTAAACGTGAATGATAAAACAACGTGATCGCTATTTACTAAAGGGGGAAGAATATTTAGGTTGGCAATATCCTCAGTCTCATGGGTAATTACCAAGTCCAACAGAGAAGAACCTTGGTTTACACCGAAACGTGTAGGTTTGGGTACATGTTGTACTAATGCATGTTCCATTACTGTTTCCAAGAGCCTGCTATCAAATGAGTTTATAGAGCATTTCGTGGTCATCTCAGTCCAACTAATGTCAGGTGCATTAAAGTCTCCTAATATCAAGCATCTGTTATTTGCACTCCATAGCCGAATGTGCTCTAAAATAAAGTCATCAGCTAAGCAGATTGGGCTGCGATAGATGACACCGAGTGCAAATGTACAACATCCGACAGTGAGTTCACAGCTAATGGCTTCACTAGTTCCACTATCATGGGATTCGCAAACGGAGGAGCGGATATTTATACTATTGGCTATGTATAGAAGGACGCCACCTTTCCTGCATCTATGTCTATCACTTCTTAAACAATGATATCCGGATAATTCTGGGATGATGTCGAAGTCATGGACTAACCAAGTTTCCGTCACAGCTACAATGAGTGGCCTTAATTTGTCCACTAATGTTCCTAGCTCGTAGAATTTATGTTTTAGACTACGGTCGTTGGCATATAAAACTCCTAGGGGGAACGACCTATCCACACAGGCCTTGGTAGTATTCGCTTCCAAGACCTGACTATTCGAAAACCCACCAATCGGAGATTTTCTTCACCGTTTTGTCGACGGGTTTCTAGTTCAGCTAGTGCCGTCTTCCTTTTTATTCTATCTTCAAGAGACACATCCGGTCGCATCCAAAATTCAGAGTTGTCGTGACTCCGAGCGTTACTTAACAGAAGATTACGTTGTTTCTCCGACCCTAAGATTACCTTAAGGAGTCTACACGGTCGGGGTAGAACACTGTTATCGGCTCTTTTACCTATTCTAACTAATTTTTTGACCTGAACACCTTTAGTGTTATCTGGTAATATGCTACGGATATATTCTCCGAGCCTCTCTAAGTCATGGGTGTGTCTAACCTTAGGATCTGGATCGTTAGACTCTGGCAATTTACTCACAATAATATTCGATGATATTAACTTCCTCTCAGTCGCACTAGGATGATGATCTGCCGTTCTATCAGAGTGCGATAATGCATTGAGTGACTCAGACTGTGAGTTCCTCAATGGCTTGTCATTCAAGTGTGCTTTATCATTAGCTTTTTTCCTTTTCTTTTCCTCTTTACTGCGGTCCATTTTTGGTCATTCAGGACAGCTGCATTGGGACTATTGGGGACGATGACGGTTTTATCCGGGTCCTCAATTTCTACTAAAGATACATGATTACTCATGTCAATACCATGTGGTGATTTACTCCTCGTTTGTTGTAACGGAAGTTTCACTTTGTCATTAATTAGAGTAGGTTGTTCAGCGCGTTTTGTAACAGCACTTACAACACTGACACAGTTGCATGTGCGTCGGCTAGAATGGTTCTCATGTGTTGGCATATTTCCATGAACTGTTTAGCTCTGAAAGTTTGCGAGTTCGTTGCTAACAACGTGGACTGTGTTCTTCAGCTTTGTTAGCGTAAACCTCAGATTTGTTGTTGTTGTTGTTATATTTTTCCTGAAAAACATTCCAATCTCCCGATTTTCGGGGGAAACCCGGAGTATATCGGTGATTTCCCTAGTCAGTGGAAATTCTGAGGAAAACCTCGATATAAGTGTTGCACATTCGTGTGAACAATAATTTATTATTAACGGTAATTTTTAAGTCCTTCAAGGAATAATTACAGCAAATGATTTTTCATAATATGATAATAAAGCTTACTACTCATTCCAGTGTAAATTTTTTGGCCTTGTTTTAGTAAGCCATAAATGTAAGAAACAAACAAGCTTTTGTTTCACGTCACATTCTTGAAAACTTTACCCATATATGTGAACTGTTATTGTCATAAACTTCGATTGCTGTATTGGTCCAGCCTACTATAGCTAACTGTTTCTTTTAGACTAATAATGTTGGAGATAATAGAAACTAACAGAGTGCCAAACTTAATGGGCTGCCACCGGTCGACATTTCGCAGAAGGTTGAAGAAGTTGATAAGTTTGTGAATAACTACGACGTGACAGTTGCCAAAGTACAAACCTGCAGTACTATACATCCAAATGATTTAGGCGACGCTATAGCTATGTAAATGCACACTGATTCCCGCCCTTCCCTCGTGTAGTTACAGTCACCGTGCACTTACAGCAGTCATCAGTACTGTTTCGTTTTTTAATAAACCACATTGAGTTTAGAGATTTTGCCACCTATGCATCCGCTAATGAAAGAAAAACTTGATAGAATTGTTGTTGGTATGATGGAGGTGTAGTAATTGTTCGGAAGACAAATGAAATTCTTGGCCCTTATGGGATGGTTATTTCCAAACTCTCTACGTCCATCAGAAGTGCTCTGTGTAGTCGCCACAATAAACAACCTACAGTTCTGGACGCAGGAGTATTCTACCACATTGGAGTGAAATAGGATTCTCCGAGAATTTCAGATATTTGACTCCTCAAGATCAATTTTGGCGAACTCAAATAACAACTCAGCTATTATGATATGTCGGTTTCTAAAGGCTTGAAGCAACAGTTGTAGTCCATCCTGGGTCGTCTTGTAGCTCCGTATTCCAGTGGCGTTTTCTTGGTT